AGGGTGGGGGGGCCAGGACTTGTGAGAGGGCAGGGTGGGGGGCCAGGACTTGTGAGAGGTCAGGGTGGGGGGGCAGGACTTGTGAGAGGGCAGGGTGGGGGGGCAGGACTTGTGAGAGGGCAGGGTGGGGGGGCAGGACTTGTGAGAGGGCAGGATGGGGGGCCAGGGTCTGAAACTCACTCCAGGTGCTGCAGGGATGAGAACGCTGGAAGGATCTTTGCCAGTGTGGGGAAAGCCTGGGGACCCAAGACCGGACCCAACCTAGGAAGCAATGGCGGAGGTCAGACACTGGACCTTGCACAGTGGAGTGCAGCCGGAAGCAGGCCGGAAGGACAGTCTGAGCCGCTTCCCTGCCTCCCCAGCTTCTTATCCCCCCTGCTGAGGACCACTGAGAGGCCTGCTGCCACCCACCCACCCCTGTGTGTATGTGTGTGTATGTGTTCCTATGCATAGATGTGGAGGTAGAAGGATCCTGGGCTAAATAGAGAGTTTGAGGCCAGCCTGGGCTATGCAATACTATGTCTCAAAAAGAGTGAGAGCAAAAGAACAAGAGAGAACCATTTTTTGAGCACTTAGCACATGCTAGCCTGTTAGTCAACCTAGGTCCAATACAAATCACAGCTCTGAGAGTCTTCTTACCTCCATCTTACAGACTAGGAAGCCAAGGCACAGAGAAGTTAGGTAACTCACACAAGTTCACACAGCCTAATTGACTAGATTTCAAGGGAACCAATTAGATAAGGACAGCACAGTGATCATGGTTTGATTTCTAAAAAATGACTAAATATATCCAGTGTAAAGCACTTTATTCTAAATTTTAGTTAAAATTATAAAAATAGAAATAAAAAACTTTGATTTATATTACTTTTAGCCTGAAATTACATTATTTGAACCTTTAAGATTTATTTCTATGTAAATGTAAAGGTCTGTGTACTGTACGTCACAATTTGGTGGGACGGTGGTGGCTGTCAGAGCCAGGAGACTTTGGAGCCACTGGAGCTGGAGTTATAGGCTGTGGTGAGCCCCTCAATGTGGGAACTGAACTTGGGTCCCTGGAAGAGCAGCAAGCACTCTTAATCTCTGAGCTGTCTCGCCAGCCCTTGGACTTCACTTTGTTTAGTTAATAAGGAGTTAGCTTACTTGCTTAGTTATTCATTGCATGCATGCATACACACGCGTCATGGCACACGTGTGAAGATCAAGACAACTGCAGGAGACGGTTCTCTCCTCCTGACATGCAGGCTCTGCTTGGTCGCATCACCAGCACTGAGTTCTTTTGAAATAGTCATTGTTTAATAAAATGATGACAACACCCGTGGGGGTTCGTTCTCGTTCTCTCTCTCTCTCTCTCTCTCTCTCTCTCTCTCTCTCTCTCTCTCTCTCTCTCTCTCTCTCCCAGGGTGGCCTTGAACTCATCATCCTCCTGCCTCAGCTCCCTGAGTACTAAGCTGACAGGCACACTGCCACTTAAGATTTGTTTGTCTAAAGGAACATACTTAGTGAAAAATCAAAAGATTACTGTACATAGTAACTTAAATTCTGGAATGTCCTCCACGTCTGGGACCCAAACTCTGGGACCTCAAGCTTTAGGGAAAGGCTACAGATCAGAGCTGGGCTCAGCCTTGTGCTGGGGGCCCCTGTGATCCCTTCACCTTTGGATCTTGGGTCCTTCAGTACTTAGCCCTGATCACAGGAGGCTGTCAGAAAGAGAACGGCCATCATCACTTGATTCTTCATCACCCAATCTCACTGCTTGTCTGCCAGGTACCAGACCAAGTCAAGAAAGCTCTGAGCAACCACAAGTTCCCCCTTGCACAGAGCTGGCATTGAGGGCACACAGATAATCAAAGAACTTAGTTCATGGTCTGGACTGAGAGATATGAAGTACTTCAGACACGCTCCTGGGGTGGAAGTTCAGAAAGCGCCTCAGAACCCTGAGATACCAGTCAGTGGGGCAACGTGTGTCTGCAACCGGAACTCATCCCTGAGACTGGCCTGACAGAACCAACGCTTGCAAAGTGTCCTCTGACCGCCCCAGCACATCATGACATGCGTGCACACACACATATCTAAATAAGTAAGCAAATTAACAATGTAATTTTTAAAAAAGAAGATGGGCAGAGGAAAGTGAGGGCCTGGGTGGATCTGCTGTGTAAGGAAGGAGCATTCAGGGCAGAGGTGCAGCCATGACAAAAGCCTGGGGCTGGAGCTCATCTCCTGTCAGGAGATGAAAGGGACTGAGGAATCGGGTGGAGAGGAGATAAGGGAAAAGGGGTGATGAAGCTGGGCCTGTTTATTTGTTGGTTTGTTTTGACAAGCTCTCTAGCCTAGGCCTCCAACTTGCTGTGTAAGATGACCTTGAACTCCTGGTTCTCCTGCCTCTGCCTTCAGATGCTGGGACAGCAGGTGTGTGCCACCAGGCCGTGTAGGTCATGCTGGGGATTGAACCAGGGCTTTATGCGTACTAAGAAGCACGCTGCCTTCTGAGCCACATATATCCACCCCCACCTCACATGCAGGTGGGGGTTTTCAAGTGGACTGATGAGACAGAGACCTGCAGGGTGAGGAACATGGAGGTGGCTGCACTCGACACCCAAAATAGTCCTTCGTTTCCTTCCTTTCTTCCTCAGAACCATCTCGGGGCTTCCAGCCTGTAGGTGGCTGTTTGTCTGGCTCTAGCCTGTTCCACTCCACAGCCTCCGGTACCCAGAGCGCAGTTCCGACCTCCAGGGAGGGGCTTTTTAAGCTGAAAATAATTCAAAGCCAGAAAGCACCCTGTGGCTGTCTTCAGACATTTCCTCTTTTCAGCAATATTTTTACCTCCCTCTGTACAAATTTGGTGTCTTATGTCCTGTTGAAAACAAGAGGGACTTGGTTATCTGTGGGGGTACAGGGGAGCTGGCAGTGAGTAGGTGACCAGCTGGGACTGCAGGCAAATCACTAACATCACCTAGCCTCAGTTTCCAAATCTGTCCACTGACTGTCTTCCTGGGCAACTCTCCCCACGAAGGGGCCTTTATGTAAAAGGTAGCACGCATCTTGTGGGTGGCTCTCTTTGTTTTGAGACAAGGTTTTCCTCTGTAGTCCTGAGTGGCCTTGGACTTGTTATCTTCAGACTTTAGCTTCCCAAGTGCTGGTGTTTCAGGTGTGTGCACCCAGACCTGGCTGGAAGGAGCTCATCTCTAACAGGACCAAACACTGACAGAGCTTGTTGTTGCCTAGGCAGGCTAACCTGGTGCTTATAACTGTGAAGAAACCACATCATCTCTCAGGTCTCACTATGCCCGTTTGTAAACGAGAGATGACATCAGTACCCTTCTCCCGGAGTTGTCTTAGAGAATGGAGTGGAAATGCTTTGCAGTTGAAAAGCCGTGTTAAAGCCGGGTGGTGGAACATCCTGCAATCCTGGGTACTTGGCGGGGTTGAGGCAAGGGGGAGCAAAAGTTCAAGGCTGGACTGGGCTAAATATTAAAACCCCTTTTCAGAATAGGAAACACATGGACTGGGAATGTAGCTTAATTGGTAGAGTG